CTAAGTTTAGAATTCAACTAACATCCCAAAAGTTCCAAAGTTGATTGTGCAAGCAACTCCAAAAGGGCGCTGCGCAAAAATCCGGCTGCGCATTAAAAGCCTCAAAATCGACACCGATTTTGTTGCACTCGAGACCATCCAATGTGAACCTCACTCGTTCAAGAAGCATCCACATGGAAAAATTGCTTCCCAGGTTTTGAGGTTGACCCGGACCGCCCTTCAGTAAGTAAGGCAAAAAAACACAATGCTTAAAAATCATATAGAGCAGTATAATTCCACATGTTTTAGAATTTTAGAAACTTTTTACCACACATTTTATCTACTTACCTTATATATCAAAGATTCAGGCTTTAGAAAAACAAAACAGGAGAAGGCAAGCTAACCTGTCTAGGAACAACAAGGTAAAAGTCGTCGAAAGATGGAATATTAGTGTAGCCGACATAATCTCCAACCATATTCACCCTCAAGAATTTATCACTGGATATTGCAGTTCTATTCTCTGGACCAACAATTACTTCCTGCCAAAAGAGTAATTAATAAAAGTAAATTAAAAAAATAAAATAAAATACATTCAAGATAAGTTGTGGAAGTCTATAGGTAACTATTTTCTCCTTCCCTTTCTATATTTCTTCTACATTTTTTTGTTTTATTTATGATTCTTTCTTCTTCCATTTGCTGCGTCAAATCATGGTACTGCAATTCAAATAATAACTAGAAAATGTAATTAAATTAAAGGGGCATTACCGATGTCCTTGATTCCGTCTTAACCTCAATCCGGATACTGAATCCGACCGAGCGCTGTCCAATACCGAACACGTGAAACCTACCATCAACATAAATAGGCATATTAAAGAAAAAAATATATATATCATACAAGATAAAAATGCACTAATCAGCATAAGCAACCATGCAGGACTTTAACAATCAAATAGAACACATCAATGGAAATCACAAAGTTCCAACATTTTGTTCGGGTAAATGAACTCGACAGGCGAAAACGCTATTAACTCGAGGTGGACAGTAACAGAAACATAGTTTCACATATCAAAAATACGAAGATACCTTACCAATCATCTGTAAAACGAAGACAATGTGCTGTATTTGCCTTCCCTTTCACCAACTTGTCAACTAAATTAATAACAGAAAATTTAAAAATGTTATATTGCAATTTCATCAACAAATTAGATGCAACGAACAAGTATGAGTTTTTAAAGCAGGCACGATAAACTTACAGAAGTTTCCACACGATGATGGGACCCTGCGTTGGTCTCCACAAGGACAGCAAGTCGGCTATGTACCAAAGACAAGAGAATATAAATATTAAGAATCAAAAAAAAAAAAAAAAACTGTTCAGAGGATTATATATCAAAGCCACATAAACATTCAACAGAAATGAACATTGGATAATAAGACTGCTGATTAGAACATGAAATGAATGCTGCTATGAAAACCTGACCTGCGTATGCTCGATAATGTGACCATTCTCATCTCGCAACCTTTTGGAACAAATTAACACATAAATCAAACATTAATACCCGAGTTCCAAAATCACACTTACGAACATTTTATTTCATTTTGGCCCTAAAGTAAAAAAAAACGCATACGAAAAGGTTACTTGCCTCTGGCATATTTGGACGATGTCTGCTCCAGCATCAGGCTCGCATTTCCTCGTCTTAACATAAAATTCTTGGGGCTTATACGCAACATCCTATAATATAAAATTAAATTCTTGCCATAAGATCTCTTGTTCACAAGGGCCGCATTTCATCATGTCTAATTCCAAAAACACAATTCCCCTAAAATCAATTTGGATATCTCGTGTAAGTCATTTGATTAAGATACCAAAAACATTCAAAAATCTATACACACACACACACACACATTTACTCTGGAAAACGTTGAATTTAAATGGCATGCTCGAGCAGTCCATCCTCAATCAATTTGCGTATCTCGTGTAATTCATTCGATTAAGTCACCAAAACATTAACAAATCCAAATATATATACACACACAATTTACTCTGAAAAGGTTGAACAAAAAAAAAGCATGCTCGACCCACCCGTATAAACTTGTCACTACAAGAAAATGATGAAATTCCAACGCAAATATATTCTATTAGAATTATTCCAACGGCAATACCAATAGATATTTCAATGCTATTATTTCCGTTGGAATTTTTCAATGGATTCCAACAGAAATTCCAACAAAAATATTCTTTTGGAATGAGTTTTCTATTGGAATTTCCGTTGGATTTTGACGATTCCAACAGTAGATTTTCCAACGGGGGTGGAAATAAAAATTCCAACGGAAATTGCATAATCCAACGAAAATTCCTACGGTAAAAAGGCGTTGGAAATATAACCGTTGGAATCATCAAATTCCATCTAAAATTCCAATGAAAAACATATTCCAACGGAATATTTCCGTTAAAATTTCTATTGGAATCATTCCAACGGATGCTATACCATTGAAATATCCATTGGAATTTCCATTGGAATATATTATCATAGGATTTTCCATTAGAATATAACAATTTTTTTTTTGTAGTGTGTTAAGTAGTCCATCTTCAATCAATTTGGATATCTCATGTAATTCATTCAATTAAGATACCAAAACATCACAAATCCAAACACACACACACACACACATTTACTCAAAGAACTTCGAATTGAAATTGGATGCTCGAAAACACTCGTATATATGTCTACTCGTAAAGCGCCTAAAATTAAATACTTGCGATAAGATCTCTAGTACACGAGGCCGTGATTCATCTCTAATTCCCCAAACCACAATTTCCCTAAAAACGTATTATTCGTTCCACCCTCAACGAATTCCGATATCTCGTGTAGTTCATTCGATTAAGACACCAAAAACATTCAAAAATCCTCTAGAAACAATCAAACATCAAATTAAAACGGGGAATACTCAGAGATACCCGTATATACGTCAACTCGTAGAGCGCGTAAGCAGCGGATTTGTTAATAGTCACGATTGGCGGGACCCGCAGAGTTCGCATGTGGTCGCTCGAGTTCTCCTCGGCTTCCACTATCTCCGCCACTAGCGACGCCTCCCGGCCACTCTGCACAAAAAAATAAAAATAAAATAATATATAATAATAATAGATAAATTAAGTAATCAATTAAAAAATACATTTTTTTTAACGAAAAATTAGGAAATAAAAAATAGAACTGCAAATTTTCGCGACTCGTCGGAAATATAAATAAATAAATAAATAACGGGCGGGCGTACCGATTCGCTGGGGACGGCCAAGTCGAGGACGATTTTGGAGGTGCAGTCGAGCGGGTCGGGTCCCGAGGCCTTTTCGCACTTTTCGAGTTTGGATTTGGAGAGGATTTGGAGGGCGGAGGATTTGGGGGAGAGCGCGAGAAAGACGATGGAGATCAAAATTAGGGCTTTCATGGCGGAGATTTGATTGATGGGTTGTGGAGAGTGTGTGGAGATTTTGAATTTCTATTTGAAAAGAAAAATGAAAAAAATAACAAATAAAAAACTGCTTTTTGGCGGGTGAGTTGTAGGTGCTGCTGCCCATAAACGGTCGTCGTTTGAAATTGTAGACGGGTTGCCTATTTTATCCCTATTATACGTTTGAAATTGGAGATTTTTTTTTATATATGTATATGAAAAAGGACAAAAAGAGAGATTTACGTATATATTTGTGATTTTGAATGATAGTTTCAAACTCTCTAAAATATAATATTTTTTATATTTTTTATTTTTATTATATTGACTTTTTTAATATTTTAAGTTTGAAGCTGAAAGTTGATTTAGGATTTTGCATATATAACTAATTTGTGTCAAAAAATTTCTTAAGTATAAAAGGTATAGAGAAATCTAAGTAATAAATAAATTAAATAATTCATAATTTTTTAATACCTTTAAAATTTTAAAATCTCAAAACTTTTGAAAACAATATTTTTAAATAAAAAAAGATCTTAAAAATCCAGAATTAATGTCACCCTATATTTATGTGCTGAACCAATTGTACCATGATTTTTTTTCCCTTCCATTTAGTTGGCATTCAAAATGTCCTATCAAATTAAAAAATGGGCATTTGTTGTGAATATTTGGTTGAGATTAGTGTGAGGATAATGTAGTAAAAGTAAGTTAAGACTTAAATGTAATAAAACGAAACTCTTTTCAATATTAAAAATAAAATTAAATAAAATCAATCAATCATTGACACACGTTACATCAATTTTAATCTATTATTCAATCAATCACATAATTTTAATTACTCGTTCCTTTCAATCATAACACATCTACTTTTGTATCACATCAACTTTAGTTATTATATTTTAAATATTATTTAAATACGAATTCAAAAATTTCACACAAAAGTAGATGTGTTATTTTAAATTTAATTAGAATTATAATTTCACTTAATTCAATAATTCTAATTAAATTTAAAATAACTTATATTCAATTAGACCCTGTGACATAATATATGAAAATCTTTAATAGATAAAAAATAACAAATTGGTTATGATATAGATAAATTATGAATTAGTTTGGACCACTAAGTAAAACTTCAAAAGCAGTATGCAGTGAGTAATACTTAGACAATCTCCAACCGATACGAAAAACCCAAATTTTGCAGTAGAAAACCCTCCAACCGAGCTGCAATTCCAATCGCAAAATGCGATCTTTCTCTTCTCTCTCTCCTTAAGGACGCAAATTTGCGTTTGATCATCTTTTCTTTTTTCATTTTAGTCCTTTGTTTTTCATCTCTTTCATCTTCTTTCTTTTATATTTCAATTTAGTCCCTTCCTTTTTTAATTTAGATTATATAATAATTAAATTAATGAATATTACTTATATATTTATTCATAATAATAATAATATAAAATAATAAGAAAATTATTGTCATAAAAATTAGTAGTATAAAATTTAAAATAATAGATATTATATCTATCATTTAATTTTATATATTTCACAATAATAATAAAATATACATATTATTATGTGTGTTGTAATTTTTAATTTCTCATCTTGTGCTTTGTAATTTTTAATTTTATCTTGTGTGTTGTAATTTTTAATTTATCATCTTATGCGTTGTAATTTCTAATATTATATTGTGTGTTGTAATTTTTAAATTTTAATTTTTAATGACTATTTATTTATCCGATTTTATTATGTATATGATTATAGTTTTATAATTAGTTTATTACATAAAGTCTAAATTGAATTGAAAATAATAGCGTTGTTTAATTTGTAAAGTTGTAAAATATGTGGGTAGTATTGAAAAGTTGTAAAAATTGATGTAAAATAGAATATTTTGATAATATTCTTTTGAGTTGGAGAATAAGTTTTTCGGTTAGAGATGAATTACTACAAAATGGGATAGTTATTGAAAAATGAGTTTGAGTATGAATTACTACAAAATGGAATAGTTACTGAAAAATAAATTTGAATATGGAGTATTCAGTTAGAGATGGTCTTAGCAGTTAACACATTGTACTATATTTTTGTAAAATTGTTCTTACAACGAAATGTTATTTTGGATAAATTATTGTCAAATAAAATAAGTTGCCTCACGTGATGAACTCATGAATAACTATCTTCGTGAAACTACCCCAGGGGCCAGGTGTAATTTTTCTATTTTTGGGGGTCCAAAAAGCAAAATAAGAAAAGTAGGCCGGGCAGGGGCAGGGACAACACGTGATGCGACTTTACTAAACTATGTAATAAAAGTGGAACTGCCCAACTCTCTGTATCTTTATCCTTTTTCCCATTCTTTGCTTAGCTCCTGTCTTTTCAATTCTGATTGNACTTGTGGTTTGTCACTAAATTATAATAATTATTTATTCTTCTAACTTCTTTTTTTTTTTTTATATATATATCAAACTATAAATATATTAATAATTGAAAATTTTAAAAAAATAAATATGAAGTGTCAACGGATACTATTGGACCAGGACAGAATCTGAGTCAACTTTCATTGAAATTACATAGGCGATCAAGCGTAGAACTCCATCAAGAAGAAGCACACATCACCAAAATAGAACTCATAAAGGAGACAATAACTCCATAACGGAGATTAAATGTCAAATACAGCTGGAGTTAACAAAACACGAAAAATAAAGAAAGTAAAAACGACGCACTACACACGCCTAATAAATAAAGTAGAATAAAACCTCCCCCTAAACCTAGCAGGTGACCTCTACAACCAACCAGACTTGCAAGCGCTCCAATAAAAAATGCGTCTCGAAATCGAGTCTGGCCGAACACCTCAAATTCAATATTGAGTTTGTTTTTTAAGTTAGAGTGTTTGACGAGTTGCTCGGTATAAATGTGATTTACTTAAATATCTCTGTCATGAGCTAAATTTGAAAAGAAATTATTCTATTGAAAATTCGGGTCGAAGACAAGTGAAATTAGAACTGATGAAATTCTAATCTATCTCAAGTTGGTCTCTAGTGTATACTTTTGTCTAGTAGTCGAGCCGAGTCATAAAATATCGAGCTCGAGCTAGATCTATAGTGAATAAAATTGAGCATAGCTTGGTAAAGTCAATGTTCTTCTTGAAGTGTCTTTTTGCCTATAAATGAATAAGTTAATATACAAAATAAAATTTAAGGGATATAGTTTTTAGAATTTCAAAACTTAATATAGCTATAAATTACTTTTATTAGTACATCCAATTTCAGATTTTGAATTTAGTGTAATGGGTACCTGAAATTCTATGAAGGATGCCAATGATTATATATTTGTGAAATAAAGGGATAAAGAAAAAACAAAAACAAAAACAAAACTCTATTACTACTCGAATTACAGCTCAATATTACGCATCACCGTCAATTATATAATTGCATGCACCCAACTTTCCAAAGAATTAAATGTGTATCTCAACTTTAAATGTAAAATAAGTAGATAGTGAGTTTAAGAGAAATCATGTAATCCATAATATTTTGATTGAATGACCCATAGATATATGCTTTTAATTATGCTATTGTTTCATGCTTCGTATTTGTATATTATCTATTTTATTTTATCATAAGGTGATCATGTTATTTATTCTATAATAGTATTTTTTAATTGGATCGTGTCTTATTGAGTTCCGTATTTGATCCTTCACTGGGTTGATGATCACCACTTAACATGTACAGTAACAATAAAGTTCCAAAATTTAGGTAACATTGGTTGATCTTAAAATGAGAACCTTTTTAACACCAATTACAAGATGAAAGAAATCAAGAAAACAAAGAGAAAACACAAACTTTTGATAAAATGATGATAATTTGATAAACCAAGAGTCAACACCCAAGACTCAACGACGTAGCGTCAAAGGCACTTGGCATCTGAATAGACAACGTGAACAGCCCTTTTAACAACTTGCACCCTTTTTAGAGTTTATTATTATTATTATTATTATTATTATTATTATTATTATTATTATTATTATTATTATTATTATTATACATTTTTTTACCTAAATTACCTTTACCACATCAAGAAGAGATGATTGATAAAATGTATATATATATTGATCTTATAAAAACCAATGTCAAGTATATATTTGATTAGTTCTTAAATTTTCATACAATGCATTAAGAAAAAAAAAAAGCTACCAACTACAAAGTGTAGGGCCATGGGAAAATTACATTATTTTTATTTTTAAGGTGGTACATTATTCATTTTTTAGGCCTAAGGACGAAACTATATTTTCAGGTCATTTATTAAATATTCTTATGTTGAATTGGTCATTTTGGGGTGTGGGGTTTATGGCGTCGTCGAGCTTTAAATGTCGATCGATCATAATTCTTAACAACTTTTTCAAGCGATTTGTAGTTTTTCTATCTATAGTGAAATTATATGAGACCTTTTGGCACACTTGTAAAATTTTGATTTTTATGCCATTTTGATATGTTTAGGGTGAAATGTTATATCTTGGAAAAATAATATTTACGTACCATTAAATTATTTTGAATCGTCCAATATTTGTCAAGAAAAAATTGATCCGATATCCATAAAATTATTTTGGCTCAACCGAAAATAGTATTAGAATATAGCGATTATAGAGGATTTGTTTCTTTATGATTGAAGAAACTACAATTGCTTTCGGTGTAGGTCATTAATATCAAGTAAATAAGAAATCTCCAAGTTCAAGCAAACGATAATTTTTATAGATAAAAGCATATATTAACAATTAGAAAACAACAAATGAGCCAAACAGCCGTCAAGCTGAATCTAAGGGAGCCTACACAAAGTAGACATTAGCACTACGATAACTCATCCTCAGAACCACCAAAAGATTAAACAACTAAACATTCTTACAGGAGGAGAATCAAGCTTATAAGAAGACGAATAAACTGAAAAACCAACAAGGTTACTAACAAAACACACAAACAACACACAAACACTGGAGCTAATAGAATAACACCCTCCTCCAACTAACAAACAATTAGCCACGCAAACGACGACCCAACACCTGGAGACGACTCGCCAAAAGGAAAGAAACTCGACCAGAGAGAATAACCTAAATTAAAACTCCTAGCTAGACCCT